AGAGAGAGAGAGAGACTGCATTGTGTGCGTGTGTGACTGTGATTGTGTGACTGTGTGTATATGAAGCTGAGCCTAAGGCGGAACGATTTGATTTGTTCGGTTTGTGTGACTTACTCTGCGCTTTGCTCTGTGTGTGTGTGTGTGTGTGTGAACACAGGATGGTGAGGCGCCTGGTCAGGCGAGCCTTCGCGATGAGGTTGAAGCCGCCGCACACGACTACGCCAAGGAAGAACACAGGAGAGCGTGCGTTGCTCGATGATCGGACCGGATCGAATCAACACACAGCGGGGTCGTGGAGATAGCACGGCAAAGGAAAAGAAACAGGCGCATGGCGCGGGAAAGGGGGGGGGGGGAACGGCACAAGAACAGGGCACAAGACACAAAAACAAGAAGAACACCAACAAAAGACAAAAAGGCCACACACCGCAAGCGCACGCAAACCAATGCACAGCAACAAACGTAAACAAACGAGCACAGCACCAGGAACGAACTGTGTGTGCTGGTGTGGTGGTGGTCGTGGTCGTCGTCGTGGTGCATCGAGATGGTGCGAGGTGACAAGACAAGCATCGAACCAACCTCACGCACGGCGATGGCTGGGCACGGATTGGATCGCGCAGCAAGGCAGGCAGGCTGGGCGGGTAGATTTGGCGTGGAAGGGGAAGAGGAAGCGAAGAAGAAATATTCAATCAGCCGGTGATGATCATCAAAGACGAGACGCTGCAAGTGCGGGAAATGTGCTTGGTCGGTTTTCCTTCTCCTTGCTTGTCTTGTTCTTCTTGCGTTCCTGGGAGTTTGATTGGGGGAGGGGGGGGGAAGAGGAAGGTGCAATATGCAAACGCAGGCACGAACAGCGTGTGCGTTGGATGTGTGTGTGTGCGTGTGTGTGTTTGTGGGAGGAGGAGAGGGTGAGGTTGCGTGGTTGGCACGACAGACAGGAAGGTCGGGTGTAGGGAGAAGGGAGAAGAATGTGAGAGTGAGAGAGATGTGATGTGTGAGAGTGAGAGAGATGTGAGAGTGTGGTGTGTGAGGGAAGCGGGGATTGGTGCAAAACATAAACATAAACATAAACAACACCTTGCGTGGTTGCATCAACACCCAGAGAAGCGATTGACAACGTCATACACGCACACCCACAGCCACTCACGGTGATGGATCTTGCTCGCTGTTGCTCGAGCGGTGCACAGAGTGAGAGAGAGAGAGAGGCAGCGATCAGGGATTACTGCTGCAGCGGCTGCTTGTGTTTGTGTGTGTATTGTGCGGAACAACGCAACAAGGGAAATGGCGAGCATAGCAGCAGCACCAGTCAGCCGCAGCAGGGAGCTTGCTTGTGCGGGAAGCACCCAGCCAGTCCCCAAAACCGCCAGGCAAGCAACCAACCACGCCAAACGAAAACAATATGTAAATACAAAAACGATGACAACGGTGTCACCAGGAATTTTGCCGAGTCAGCAAGAAAGAACGAAATCGGCATTTGCTTTGCTTTGTGGTGTTGATACCTGCCCGTGTCCGTGGTATGTTGAAATCTTTCGAAGATTCTCGTTTTACATTATCGCGACCGAGTGCATCGTTCGTATGAAGCGTCCCTTACGCAACTTTCGCGCGCTTCACGCGGCAAACGAAGAAACCCGTTGCAAAATGCAAATCTGCCAGGCTGTGTGAGCAGAATGTGTGACGTGTGAGTTGGCTCTGCTGTTCTGGCAAACCACATCCTCACACCTCACCCCAAGCACCCCATTGTATGTTGTCACACCACGCTGATGCGCGCTAGTCTGTGAGTGCGCCTTCCCTCACACCACCAGCAGCCTTTGCCACGCTTACAGTGCTCGTTTGCTCGATTGTACTTTGTTGTAACTACTGCCCATCAGAGAACAGAACGACAAAACAGAAAAATAACACGTCAATGAATCACATCACATTCACTCACTTGCTCAGGTGCAAACAGCCAACAGACGACCAGCTGCACGAGCATGACCCAGCACAGCGTGCTTTCCCACGTACTCGCCGAGGAAGAGGGGCGCGTGCAAGCGGCAGCCAGACCCACCACACCAGCACAACGTGCGCCACCCTTCCATGCTGCTAGCACAAGTGGACGAGGACAATGGAGGAGACGAAACAACTGCTACAACTGCGCAGAAGAAGGGCGCATGTAGAAAACACACACGTCGATCTCACAATGACATGGTGTCGAGGATTCTGGCGCATGCACACACACACACACACACACGTATGTCGCTTCTAACGCACACACACACACACACACGTATGTCGCTTCTAACGCACATACAGACACACATGCACACATGCACACACGCACACACACAGAGCAAACCCAAGCAAGTACACATGAAGAGGATGGTGACGGAAATGGTGTACATTCTCGAGCACTACAGTTGCGTTGGAGGCGGGGGGAAGAGGGGTTCAAAGCACGAGAAAAGCAACAAAAGCACAGTGAGGTGGAAGAGAAACAGGCGAGCAAGACACCCAACGCAAGCATAACACAAAGCAAGAGATGAAAAAAAAAAAGAAGAAAGAGGGTGACAAACTCAAGACAAGATCACAAAGCGGATGGGGAACAAAGCGAAGAAGAAGAAGAAGTTGGTGGTGCACTTAAAACCAAGGTCCAACACTTACATAACAGAGTAAAGATACGGGCGTGAAGCGAAATACAACACAACACAACCAACCAACCAACCACTAATCCATACACACATGTAAAAGGCAAAGGGCCAAAGCGGAGACACAAGTCTTGTTCAAAGTCTGCATGCTACATGTACATCTGGCTCTGGCTGTTGCTCCACGGCAGAAACAAAGAAAGAACGGGCGGAAGCAACAGGGTCATCACGGTCAACAGGGTGGGTCAACATGGTCAACAGTCTTTTCTTGTCCGCGCCTGCGTGCCAGCTATCAGAACAGCAAAGGAGGAAGGAAGGTGGAAGGAAAGAAGGAGCGAAGAAGAGGAAGGAAGGTGGAAGGAAAGAAGGAGAAGCAACAGGAACAGAGCAGAAGGAAGAGGAGGAAGGAGAACAGGAGATGGAGAAAGGAAAACAGGGGGAAGGGTGGGAGGGGCTCTCGTCGTCAAGCCATGCTAAGCCAAGACAGGCAGGCAGACAGCGACATGGGTTGGTTCTCGTCGGAGCCACAGACATCAGCGACTGACTGACGGCAGTGAGGTCGTGGTGGCAGCGGTCATCGCCTGTCCCTTTTTTGTCACTGCCGGGGAGTTCCATGCACGGACCCATCCTGCCCAATCTTGGGCGACCCTCGCTGCTTTTTCCCAAGCGGGCCGGTCGATGTTGACGAGGATGATGCAGGAGGAGGAGGAGGGGCAGCTGTGCTCTCGGGAGTGGCATCTGCACCGACCGTCGGTGTTTGGGCTGCCACCTTCTTGTCTCCGGGGGCCTTGGTCTTTGGTGCGCCGCTGCCCGCCACGTCGCTCCCCGCTTCGAGCTTGGCTTCTTCTGAGGCGCCAATGGATGGCGAGTCGTACGAGTCGTCGTCACCAGTGCCAGAGCCGCCGCCGCCCTGCTCCAGGCGCTGCCGTCGCTTCTCCAGCACTACAACAGCACATCACACAGCGGAGCGGCACATCGTCATGACAGTGTGAGACGAAAAACAAAAAATGGGCATCCACACACCATTCACACTCACGCACTCGGGCAACGGGCGCACCAGCACCAGCACCAGCACGCACAATCCCGGCAAGCGCAATCACAACAAGCACAGCAAGCACAATCACAACAACAGCGACAAATCACAATCACAACCACGCGCAGGTAGGTCAATCGATATGCGCACGCAGATACAAACATCGTGGGTGGCGAGAGTCACATGCAGGTTGCCAAATATAGAACAAGGGGCACATGCATAATGGCTTTCACACGCAACGCAGGCAAAGCAATCACCACGGAGACGCACAATTCTGGACAGTGACGGGGTCATGTTGTGCCACGGCAATGGTGCGACACTGGGTGCACTTGACGTCTGTTGGTGTCAGGGCAGTGGTCAAGCGCGTGGGAATAAAACAAAGGGAGTTCAAATGTAGAGAACAAGGCGGGGGGGGGAAGGCAAGGAGACGGCGCTGTGAGAAAAACGAAGCCCAGACATTGTTGGAACTCAAAGCCGTGTCGTGGCACGTAACCAAATGGGCAAAAGCCAGCCCATATCTCACGCAACACGACAGCAACATCATCATACATGTTGGCAGCCGGTGGCTGTAATGCTCTTTGGAGCATGTGTTCTTGCGAGGGCACCCGCGCGGTAGCCGCTTCAGCCCTGCAACGGCACGCACGCAAGCGACAACACATGCGGCGTGAGCATGGGTGAAGTGAGCACAGAGTCAAGACGTAATCATGGGGTCAAACACAGTTGGTGCGCGCATTGAACAAAGAAAATGCGGTGGTGGATGATGGTGAGAAAGGTTGAGCCATGGCGAGGAAGGGCGGTGTGCAAGGGTGGTTCGTGCCCACGTCTAGACCCAAGGCTGGCATGGGTATCGACGTCACCAACTTCCACACGACCACGAGAAGTCTCACACCCAAATCCCACGTCCTTGCCGACGACGCACACGGAGCAACATCGGACAAGTTCGCGCACTCGAAAGTAGGTGGCGCTCGTGCTCGTGGGTGTCGACACGCACACCCAACACCGCATACGCCAAACGCATGTCAACACGACATGGCATGGTACCTTCGACGAAGCCGTCCACAGTCAATGCTTGTTTCGGGTCCTTGTACACCTTGGCAATGTCGTTGTAGACGCCCCTGCAATAAATGTGCGGCGGTGCATCGTGTTGGTTGGGAGTGAGTGAGTGAGTGAGTGAGTGAGTGAGTGAGCGGCAAAGAAGGTCAAGGAATAGGGAGAAGAGAACCAGCGGTCCCTTTGGGCAATATAGTGTCGAGCGAACCCCGCCGCCATCGCCATCACCATCACCATGAGCAACACAGCAGGTGTTGGCTGACGGCTGATGTTGTCGCCCGAGACAAGCAACACCCCCCCCCTTTCAAATCACGCTGACTGCAACGATCATGTACGCATACGCCCCAACAACACTGCTAACCACAAGAACAAACTCTCAAGCAAAACAGGCGTTTTCCGTCTCATCCTTCCTTACCCATAACATGTCGAGCACAATCTGACAAGTCAAAAAACACAGAGGCAGGGGATTCATCGTGAACGACTAACAAATTATTCTCAGTCGGAAAGCAGTCAATGCAAAACAAAAACGCCAGCGCAACTCGCCATGATGAACCAAGTAACAAACAAACAAATGCACAAGAAGGAAGAGAACAGAAGCAAAATCGCAAGACCTACAGACACACGTTAGTGACAGACAGCATCTAGCCACACACAGCACACAAACACATCGCACACAACACAACACAAACACACACACACACACATTCACAAGCACATGCACGACCGCGTACTTTGTCGCTGTGTGTCGCCCGGGGCCACCGCAGACGGGGCACTCTGGGCGAGGTTTCCTGCCCCGTTTGGAACGTGCCAGGGATGATTGTTGTTGTTGTCGCGGCTGGTCTTGTTGTTGTTGTTGTTGTTGTTGCTGATGAGGCCGCTGCAGATGTGTGGGCTGGACAGCACTTGTCTGAGCGGCTCCAGGCATGCCTGGCGCAAAGCCGGGGACAAGGCCTGCCATCGCAGCGGGGTAGGTGGCCATGAGCTGGGCCATGATGCTGGGGTTGAACATGGCCGCAGCAGGCAGGCCAGAGAGAGCGCTGTTCGGTGTGCTCAGATACGGTGCAGGGTTTGCTGTCGTTGGAAACATGGAAGCAGCAGGTTGCTGATGCGCCAAAGAAGGCGGCGAGGCAGAGGAAGGCGTGGTCTCTGCTGCAAGCAAGCCGGGCTGCGTGCTTGCAGAGCCTTCCTGTTGGGTCTGCTGGCGTTGCGGGTGTGCATCGGCAGCAGACGTGTGCTGTTGCTGTGCCTGGGCGTGGTCAGGGACTGTCGCCCAGGGCGGGTTGTTCCATCCCCCGTACATGCTCATGAATGGATGGAGCGTGGAGCCTGGTGCAGGTAGCGGCTGCTGTTGCTGTTGTTGTTGGAGTTGCAGCAGAAGCTGTTGCAAGTGCAGTTGCTGGAGGGCAGCATCCTGGCCTGGAGGCTGAAAAGGCGCTGCATGGGTTTGCGCCTGCGGTTGCTGCTGCTCTTGCTTTGGTCGCTTCGTCATGGGCACGCCTTCCTTGTCATCAACAGTGCTGGGCTGGTGTTGCTGCTGGTGTTGCGCTTGCTGGGCGATACCTGCCTGAACGTTCATGGCCGGTTGTCTGCCGGCGGAGGCTGCCTGGGCCAGCATCATCATGGTCTGTTGTGGCACTGGCTGCTGTGCCAGCGAAACGGCGTTGTACATGGATTGCAAGGCGTTTGGCAAGGTTTGCGGCTGTTGTTGGTGTTGGTGGGACTGCAGTTGATAGTCCTGTGAGGTCTGCTGCTGAGGCGGTGTGGGCATGGTGTGCCGGTCGCCGACAGTCATTTCATCCAACAATGGAAGCTGTGGTGTTTGCGCGGTTGCTTGCAGAGTGCCAAAAGCCTGGTGAAGACCTTGGACGGGCGTGGCGCCCACAGGCCCACAAATCACATGTTGGGGGGGGGTTGTGGGTGTGTGTGTGCGAGCGTTTGTGAGTGCATGCGTGTACGTGCAAAGGGAAAAGGGCGAGGGGATTGGCTGTGAGGGTCAGGCGAATGCAAGGCAGGGACGGTGGTTTGGCCAAGGCTGCTTGGGAAGCACGCGGTCGGAAATGGAAGGCGTGTTGTTGGTTGGCTGGTTGGTACCTTTGGGCTTGGCCGAGTTGTTGGTTTGAGCTGGAGTGAGGGCGATACAACCAAGTGTGTGAGGAAACGCCTGGAGGCGCAGGCAAGAGTTGTGAGGGGCGGTCTGAGGGAATGTAGGTTGGATCAACGACGGTGAGGCGTTGGGATGATGGTTTCCTGTGAACCCATCAAGACCAATTTGAGCCGTTGGGTTTGGCAAGGGCGGGGGAGAAGGGAGAGGAGAGAAGGAAGGGTTACAAGGTAGGCAGGATTGGAACGATGAGCCACTCATCATGGCGATGGTTGTTGGCATGAGGTTCAAGAGCAAGGTGCTTGCAGTAAAGTGTGGGGTTGGGTGCTTCTGTGCGGGAAGAACAAAACAAAGCAAACACAGCGGGATCTGGGCAGCGGAAAAGGCGCTGCTTGTTGGACAGGGAGGGAAGGTGTGCATGTGTGTGTGCGTGTGTGTGTGTGTCGTGGCACCCCACCCGCGGTCGTTTGTGTGTCTTGTCTTTTGTGCTGGTGTGAGGGCCTTTGGCGAGGGGGATGATTGAATGATTGTCGGGGAAAATGCAAAAGCAAGGCAGCACGCACGCATGCCACGTACAGAAGTAGCTCAGCACACGGCTGCGAACGGCGACTTCACCCCTCACAGCAAGTCGTCAGAGCCGTGTCTGCGTCCGGGGTGGCCGTTGACGTCACAAGGAGCACAAGTAATTGAGGTGCAAGATGGATGCAACAAAAAATAGGTGCAGTGAAGTTGCTCCCCCCAATCCTGCTGTGGCGTGAACAGCGAGGGGGTTTCTTGCTTGCCGTGCGTCAGAGTGAATGTGTGTGAGAGAGTGGTTCGTGCACAAGCAGGTGGGTTTGATATTGGGTGGTGGTGGTGGTGGTGGTGGGAAATGTCTGCTTGCTTCTCTCTTTGGTCTTGGTGGTGGAGGGATGGGTTGTTGTTTTGCGATGTGTGTGACTCGACGCAACAGCAACGTGCAGCAGAAAGGAGAGGGGAAAATCGACGGCGAGCGCGTGTGTCTTGCGTCTGCGAGCAGTTTCTGTGCGCGAGGCATCAATCCAAACGGGGCAAGACGGCGAAAATTAAACGAAGATTTATTGTAAAAATCGACACTTAAGTTGGAATCAGCATGGAATTGGGTTGCGATAGCTGACGCGATGAGTGGGACATCAGCATGCATGACCACGACCGAGAAGCGAAGAAGAGGCAGAAGACAAAGGAAGGAAGCAAGGATAGCATGGAGCGAGGGACAACAACAGAAGCGAGGGAAACAAGAACGAGCAAAACCGCCAAAAAACACACCGAGCAAAAAAAAAAAAAAGGAGGGAACAACTACAACAACAACAACAGGCCCACAACAACAAACAACAAACAACAACAACAACAACAACAACAACAACAACAGGCCCACAACAACCACAGACGAGGTCGGCCGCGCGTCCGTTCATGTCACACATTGTCCACAGCGCCAAAGGTCGTTGTCGCACAGAATACACGCCATTAGCCAATCTGGTCGCCGACCCGCAGCTTCTGTCCAGGCCGGACGCGGAAGTGAAAGTCCTGCAGCCCACACGCGGGGGACATTCGACATGCATTGGAGGGGAATGTGCGTGAGAAATGTGTGCCAGGAGGCAAGGGTGGCGTGAGGTCAAGGAGCAACACACACATGGTGTGAAGGTTGCGCTGCACGCATGCAGGTATGGGTGCATTTCTCGAACGAAGAAAGACGAACAACAAGCAAGAAGCACGAGAGCACCGCCGTGACCAATCAGTCAAGGGAGACCCGCACGCAAGAAACCCAAAGCTTTGGGCAGCGAGCAACAGCCAGGCAAACCACAAAATTAGGGGAAAATAGGGACACACTCGCAACACACGCAACAGAACAACAAAACCATCACATCAAACATATCAACACCAACCATTGACAAAACACCAACAACACCAACAACATTACGCGTCGCAAGCAGCTACGCGACCGCTGCCGATCAGCGCGCGCGCGAGACATGGCAGGTATCAACCAATGCAAAGAACAACACTGTTGATCTCAAGGAACAACACGACGGTACACGTCGGTCTTGCTCACGCTTGGTGAGGTGCAAAGGAAACAACTAACGATGAGGGGAGGGGGAGGGGGCAAACACAGAAGAAGAAGACGAAGGAGGACAGTGACTTGCGTCATTGCCCCGCGTGCGCGCGTGCGTGCGTGCGTGTGCGTGTGTGCGTGTGTGCGTGTGTGCGTGTGTGCGTGTGTGCGTGCGTGTGTGTGTGTGTGTGTGTGTGTGTGTGTGTGTGTGTGTGTGTGTGTGTGTGTGTGTGTGTGTGTGTGTGTGTGTGAAACAAACCTCCGGTGCTTCAAAGACGAGGACGACAGTCGAGCCTAGGCGGAACGCGCCAACCTCCTCGCCTTTCTGGAACCGCTTGGTCATCTATCATGTTGCAAGAATGAGCGTGCGTGTGTGAGCGTGAGTGTGAGTGTGCGTGTGTGTGTGTGTGTGTGTGTGAGCGTGAGTGTGCATGCGTGAGTGAGTGTGTGTGTGTGTGTGAGTGTGTACATGGTGTATACATGGTGGTAGAACACGGGCGCAAAGGCCGAAAGCATGCAATCATGCCACACCGACACGCCGGCATACGCAGCACAAGCACAAACACGCGCACAATCACGCACACATGTGGTCACATACGCTGGGGAATTCACGGGGCTGCGCGGAGGCGGGGATGTCAGCAAGGTTTGTTTCCACAGCCTATGGAGCACCACGAGAAATGACAGCGGCGTGAGCGGTGCACCTCAGCAGCAGCAGCAGCAGCAGCAGCAACAACAACTTAAACAACAACAACAACAACAACTTAAACAACAACAACTTAAACAACAACAACTTAAACAACAACAACTGTAAGAGACACGGACCTTGTTTGCATGCACGCGGATGGATCCGACGTTGTAAGCGCCAACAGCGCAGTAGAAGAAGTGGCCGTGGTCCCAGTCGCCGCGAAGAACAACGCGCTCGTTGAGGGCAAACAGATTGCGCACCGCCCGCGCAGCAACAGGGGCAACAGACAGCAGCCCGCCTGTGACCGTGGTGGCAGCGGTGGCGTTGGCGGTTGTGTGTATGTGTGTGCGTGCGTGTGCGTGTGTGTGTGTGTGTGTGTGTGTGTGTGTGTGTGTGTGTGAACTTGAATTTGACCCGTCGATGGTTGTTCCTCGGACGAACTGGATTGGAAGAGATCTTAAATCTGCAACAGAGAACTGTTTCTCGTTCGTCGTGCCTCCACTATTAAGGTGCCCTTAGAGCCCATGCGATGCGGCGGCAACGGGACCATCTAGACCGGTGCCAATCGCGGCTCTCCAGCTTAACACGTTCCCGCCCGTGCCAAGTGTAACTACTCGAACACGCAAGCGCATGAACTGATGCTGTGACTAGTCAACAGTTTTGCTGGGATGTACCTTCAGCGCTTCATTTGGGCACTGAACGTGTACGGGCTAGGTATTTGCGCGGGGAGGGACATCCGTTTTACCTCAGCTATAGCGACCGTCTTCCCTAAGTATCACCGGAGCACGTCTAATCTGGATCCATAATCAATTGTCTAGCTAATATATGTACACCACGTTGTGCCCTACCCACCTCCACTTCATGGTTAGGGCAAGGTGTAATAGTGTGTGTGTGTGTGTGTGTGTGTGTGTGTGTGTGTGTGTGTGTGTGTGTGTGTGCGTAAGTTAGAACCGACACGAAAAACGGTTCATTTCACGCAGATGGGCCGAGCCAACGTACAAACATCAACGTGGCATGCGCAAGTGCGCGTGTACACACAATCACACAACACAACATGAAGTTAAAGCCAGTAGCAACAGGGGCATTGCAACCGCCAACACCCACCAACCAAGGAGCTTATCGACACGATACGACAGGCCCTTCACCTGCACATACACACACGCGAGTACAGTAGTCAGTGAGCAAAGGCCAAACAAACAAAAATCAGTCTGTGGAGAGGGAGAGAAGGAAGGGGGGGGGGCGAGTCTTCATTTTGCACGATATGTGCAAGCAAACAGGCAACGTGCGCAAGTATACAGGGAACACAAGACGGGGAACACAACAACACCGTAACGCAAGGCGAAGCAGTGATTGCACGGTCAACACACTTGATCAACGACGCCGTCGCTATCAATCTGTCCATACGAGAGCACTTTGCAGTCTGCCGGGCTGTTCACAAGCGCTGTGCACACACACACACACACAAATATGGGAGGGTGCAAGTTGGAAATGGATGAGATGCGGTGGGATCATCCATGCAATCATGTGTGCGCGCGTGAGAAAGTGCAGGCGGGCAGTGAGGAGAGCGCTGCGATGTGGAGGTGACGTGAACTGTACCTGGTGCGATGGGGCGTGCGCCACGCTTCAAGTACCGGCCAAAGAAATCTGTGACAACGCAAGCAGTGCATGAGGTATGACGACCACCATCGAGTACTGGCTTGAGAGGAGGCACGAAGCAACAACACACACGTGCATGTACACGTGCACGTGTGGTTGTGTGTGGTTGTGTGTGCTTGGATGTATGACGAACATGTACCTTGCAGACAGCGGTATTGGGCAAGGTCTTGCTGCTCCGCCTGCAGTTGTCGATCAAGGAATGCAGGGGAGGACGGGGACGTGGAGGTGGTTGTGTGTGTGTGTGTGTGTGTGTGTGTGTGTGTGTGTGTGTGTGTGTGTGTGTGAGGGGGGTGTGCGTGTGTGTGTGTAAATTGTGGTGGTGAGAGGCAGAAACAAACAAACAAACAAACAAACAAACAAACAAACAAACAAACAAACAAACAAACAAACAAACAAACAAACAAACAAACAAACAAACAAACAAACAAACAAACAAACAAACAAAACAAAACAAAACACCAGTCACCACGACAAAGTGGCGAGTTGGCGAGTCAGTGATCGGGGCAAGCTGGTGGCTCCACTCACCTCCTCCATATTGCAGTCAAATGCGCGCGCATACACGCCAAGCAGTGGTGCTCGTGTCCACGTTGGCAATTCAACCTGGCACAGTAACACAGCAGGAAGAGCACACAGCGGACAACAACGCGCGCGTATGGCAATGAGCACAGAGCGACAACAATAGCAACCACTGCAACCACAGCACGGTGGCAATGGTGATGATGCATTGCAATGCAGATGCAGGTGGAGACACCAGCAACGCCATTCAGACTCAAAATCGCGCAAGTGACCATCATCGCAAGTCTCCACACAACACGCGCACCTCGTTGACGGCGCCCCATGCTCTCGAGAGCACGCGAGCCGGCAGCTTCAGAATCAAATCAACTACAAGGGTGGTGTGCAAGCACCAACCCAAGTGAGTGCGAGACTGCAGATCATGCAGCACCGCGTGCACACACAAACACGCAAGCATACACAAGGTGCACACGACTGTGCAAGCACACATTCACACACATTCACACCTGTTTGGGGGCTGAGTGGGTTTGGCTGTTCAATCTCCTGCGGAATATAAGTGAAATGACAGGGGCCACATCGACGGTGGTTTGGTGATGTGAAAAGGCACATTTGTCAGCAGTGTGGCAACGACTGTACATCAAGGCGGCCGATTCTCACGTGCTCTGCAAACGCTTTACACGCACTCTCTTAACCCACATGACAACACAGCGGACATATCCACACACACGCACACAAGTGTTGAAACATCCCTCCATCCGTTCAAGTACCTCGTTTCGAATCATGCGTCGTACTTGAAGTGTGCCAAGTAGCCCGATGCCCAGGGCAAGCGGGGCTGTATCACGTGGACAGCAAACAAAACACGCGTACACATACACATGGCGCAGGTGTACAGCAGGTAGGTAGGTTGGTCACAAGTGAGCGCACGACAACGGTATGCAGCGATTGGCAAGCCATTGGCAAGCCATTGGCAAGCACTTTCTTCCATGCAACCGCGATTCCGAGACACACCACGTCCACACACGTGCTTTCATCGACACACACAAACACACACACACACACACACACACACACACACACACACACACACACACGCACACACACACACACACATTGCAAACACACACACACACACCTGTTCGTCTGCGCCAGAGGCGAGCCATTGTGTGTGTTGTGTGCAACTGGCTGACAGATATTCAGGCAGGCAGGCAGGCAGGCAGGCAGGCGAGCGATCTCGCAACTCAAAACGAATTGGTTTGCAACAGCAGTGAAATGAAGCTGTGGCGCGGTGTTGATGCAGTACCGCCGGTGACACGATTCAAGCGCCGGTGCAACTGCAGCAAGTGAGGGAGGAACAAGACACAACGCGATCCTAGATCAAGTCGAAGAGAACAAAGCTACAAATAAAGCTACAAAAGGGAACACGAGAGAACGAAGAGAGGATGAGACAAGCAACGCAAGTGGGGGGGGGGGGAGACGCGGCAAGCTCTGACTAAGCCGGTGCTTCGAGACACAAGCACACACGCAAAGGCGCAGGCGTACAACAATGAATGGTGTGCAAAGAGAAGGACAACGCCACACGTGAATGAATATTTACTGTCACACCAACAATCTTCCACAATGGTGCGTTGTGAGGAGGGAAGACTGACCAAGATGAGATGTGCCTGCGTGTGTTTGTGTGTGTGTGTGTGTGTGTGTGTGTGTGTGTGCCTGCGTGTGTGACATGATGAGGTCATGTTTGTTTGTTTGCTTTGGGGCATTTGATGATGCTTGCGCTCCTCTCATCCCATTGCATCACACCGTTGCGCACTCAAACACTGGCCGCTTTCAGGGACAAAACCAAAGCAACGTGCGTGGTTGTCTGTGTGTGTGTGTTGGGATTTGTTTGTGGTGGACTTGTTTGCACACTTTGTTGGTTATTGTGATCCTTGTGTTCCCTGAACAGCCGACACCGCAAGCTAATGACTCGTGCGTGTTGTGTTTGTGTTACTTCATGGTCTTTATCACCGTCACCGACACCATCATCATCATTATCACCGTCACCGACACCACCACCATAACTCTTACCATCACTCTTACCATTGCCATCACTACCACCGCCTCCCCTCACTCTCACCATCACCACCGCCTCCCCTCACTCTCACCGTGGCCAGCCGGAACCCGGGATTGTCACTGTCAATCGTGTGCCCAATTCAAGGTTGGGAGCCACACCCACCTCACCGAGCAGGCTTCCTGCGAGCAACCTCCCCCCCCCCCTCGCACCACCACCACCACCACCACCACCTCTTCTGCACGCACGGTCGTCTCCTTTTTGCAACAGCGTACAATTGATATTGATTGCCCCGCTCACCTCATTTTCTTGCGCTGCCTGCTCCATTTCACCCCCACTTGCTTCTGTGCAGGGATGAGGCGAGTCGTCGTGCCAACCCGCTCGATGGCATCTACCTGTTCAGGCCCGTGAGCCAGGATCCGGCGGCGCAGCCCCACCTCGCACCAGCAACACAGCATGCGCTTCGATCAGAGGCAGGCCCTTTGCCTCAGTTCTGCAGAACCTTTGAGGTACGCAAATCACAGCGTGACCACAGTCAACACACACACACATACACATTCACAAGGGTGCGCTGACTCACAAGGTGCATGCGACGTTCACCTCGTCATTGCATGCATTGCAGGAGTACACACGGGCGCTGGCGACAGAAGTGAGTGATGCGCAGTATGCGCTGGCAAAGGAAGTCAAGCGGGCCGACGACAGAGTCACAGGTGTGTGCATGTGTATTTGTGTGCTCGTGTGTGTGTGTGTGTGCTTGTGTTTGTGTGTGTGTGTGTGTGTGTGTGTGTTCTGCCCTAATTCACCCGTTAATAGTCGTATCCAAAAATGATCTGCGTTTGACATTGACATTGACAAATGTACGGTGTTCCAAATTCCCATTCCTACTCCACACACACACACACACACACACACACACACACACACACACACACACACACACACACACACACACACACACACACACACACACACACACACACACACACACACACACACACACACACACACCGCGGCTGCAGCGTGCATGCTGGCGAGCGAGCGGCGGGCGGTGCAGATGCGACGTACGAGCGAGCGACTGCACGGGCTGCGGCAGGTCGGGCACATGGTGGCGTGCACGCGGGACAACACGCAGTTTCTGCTGAGTCAGCTGGTGCAGCTGAACGAAGCGCTGCCGGTCGACGAGCAGGTGCCACTGCCACCCATCCTCCAACGCCAGCTGCAGCAACAGCAGCAGCACAGGGATACTCCCACCGATGGACGTGGCGGAGGCGAAGGAGACGGAGGAGGGCAAGAACACGATGAAGAGGGCGAGGGAGATGCAGAAGACAACGCACATGTGCAAGGTGTTGAAGCAGGCACTTTGGCGCGTGATGGTGAAGGTGAAGGTGATGGTGATGATGGTAATGGTGACGCTGGGGCGAAATGAGTTGCAGCACAAGAAGCACGCACACACACACACACACACACACACACACACACCAAGCAAGTGTCTGCTGGCAGACCTCAACACCACACATCGTCGATTTTTCATGGGCAATAAACACCAACTTTCCTCAACCACCAAACCAAGCAAGACAACGAGGATGATGATGAAGCGAGGTGCCGCGTCTGCCAGCGTTGCGCTGCTTGCCACGATTGTGGTGTTGCTCTGTGGTCTTGCAGTGGCCCAGCAGTGCGTGACGTGCCCGGACCAATCCAAGGTACAGCGCCACGCCTGTGACTGCGTGTGCTTTGCGTTGCTTGGCTGTTTGCGGCTGCTTCCTCAGGCCTCGCCCGCTTTGCTTGTGCCTTTTGAGTCATGTCACTTGAGAATGGCGGCGTAACACGTGCACTGTTCACTGCTGTGCAGTGCTGTGGCGGGGAGATTTGCTGCAAGGACGGCAACAGCTACGGATGCTGCCCTGCTGGCGGAACGTGCTGCAATGACACTTGCTGCGACAACACCCAATCCTGCTGCGAGGGAACGTGAGTATTGAACACTGAAGCCTGTGCAACGTGCCAGTGTTTTGGTGTGATGCTGATGAGTTGTTCGTGTCATTTACATTAGCATTGTGCACTCTTGCCGTCCATGATCCGTTGATCTGCACCCACGGCCACTGTACTTAGTGCTCACATTTTTGCCTTTGTCTGTCTGTCTGTCTGTCTGTCTGTCTATCTGTCTGTCTGTGTGTCTGTCTCGCTCTCTCTCTCACACTCTCACTCACACTCTCACTCACTTACTCACACACTCACACACTCACACACTCATACACACACACTCTGTGCACAGCTGCTGTGAGAAGCAAACCACCTTCTGCTGCCCGAAGCTCAGCCCCCACCCGGCCCGCTGCTGCCCACGTTGGACCGTGTGCTGCCCTGGCGGCCAGTAAGTCGCGCTCAATGGCGTGCGCTGATACTTACGACCAATTCGCCACGTGCTGCTCTGTCGTGTGCGGTCTTCTTGTGAGATGTGACGTTAAGGAATGCGAAGTTGGCCAACGCCCTGATCGATCATTGATTTTGACCTCATGTGGTTTGCCTTGACGCTTGCCTGGTCTTAGGGATGGCTGCTGTACCCCCTTCGAGGCCCAGGCATACATGGCCCAACCGTTCACCAAGATGCACCTCAAGGAAGACTCAGTCAAGGCCGGATCCAAGGTACGCGCCCTGTGGTGTACGCTACCGCCGCCACCGCTGCCGGCACGGCCTCCACAATCCACGTGTCTCCTCTCCCTCCCCTCTCTCGACCCATTCTTTCCCTTCCAACGCATTCATCGCGTCTTTCCTCACTTGTATTCCCCGTGGTACGCGTGTTGCACATTGTTGCCGCTTGCATGTTGCTGTTGCTGCCGCTGCAGGTGATCTATGCGCTCTTTAACGAGGTGTCGACAGTCAAGGCCGTCACCATCGACGCAGAGACGGGCAAAATCCTCGCCAACAAGAAGGTGCTGCTCGTGTTTGTGATTACGTGCATGTGTGTGATTGTGTGTGTATGTGTTTGTGTGTGCATGTGTTTGTGATTACGTGCATGTGTGTGATTGTGTGTGTATGTGTGTGTTTCTCTTGCGTGCACGCGAGCTCACAAACGCATTTGCCTTACTTCCTGTTGCGTATACATGATTTGGGCACATGTCACACGGCGTTGCCTGTGCGCTGCACGTCAGGTTGAGGGCTTCAACAACTGGGGCGAGATGACGCGCCTGTTTACATATGATGAATCCCGCAACCTCTTCTACTACATGGAGGCAAACTTCCTCTCCGACACCCTGCCCCGCCCCGTGAGTGTTAGCTAGATTGCGTGCGTGTGTGTGTGTGTGTGTGTGTTTGTCGATTCCTGTTGCGTTGACACAACACGTGCTTGATGCGTTTGTATCGGAGCATTGCAATACCACTTGCGCATTTGTCAATACACACCTACACACATTTGTTCGCATTCACACATGATCTGCCACCTGCTCGTCCATTCACGTGCGTGACAGCTGTACCTGTACACTGTTGATCCAGTCACTGGCCAGGCCACCAAGAAGGTTTGAGCCCATCGCTGTTGTGTGTGCTTTTGTGTGTATGTGTGTCTGGCAGCTTGCTCGCTTGCTTTGGCAGCTTGCTAACTTGCTTTTCTTGTCACGGCAACACCACTTCTGCGCATTCACACACACACACAGACGGTGCAAGGCGCAAACAACTTCCCCTCTGGCTACACGTACAGCTGCACGCTGGATGCGATTGTGCTTGGCACGGAGAAGCTTGATGGCAGCGGCA